ACGAAGAGTGAACATGTTTGTAGCATAGATTTATTTATTCATTTGTCATCAACATCCCATTTAGTGTGATGGGACAGATGCCATGGTTGTTGCCAGCAGAGAAAAACTGATGAGAGTTAACATTCTTACTCTAAATTGAATTCCTAAGTATGGGAGAGGGTATGCTTATAGACATCTCTATAAAGACAGCCATCTACAAGAGTCTATTTTTCTTTTAAACTTCCTGCCTGTTTGACAGATATAGAGAGAAGTGATTAAATTTGTTCTTTCTTGTGTAATAGGCTCTTAGGACAGATAACAGAGATGTAATGAACCAAGAAACTCTTTAACTGTCTGTCCTGTTTCTAACTAGTGTGTAGCCTACTGTCAAGATCAGAAAGGCTGAGTTGTATTTTAGTTCTTATTTTCTAGCTAACTTTCTGTGTATTCCCAGTGTGAGAACATGAACTTTTCTATACAATTGTATATTATTGAAGGATTAGTCTTAATAAAGCTACTGTTTTTTTAGACATACTAACATACACAATGAATAATTTGGAAAATTTGAAAACAGGTGACTATCTTTTTAGAACTTAATATCTCTATGTCTGATCGGGTTGCTTTGTAGCAGTAAGAAGGAATTTCAGTGGAAGAGTAATCCGTGACTCCACTCTACTCCCATTATCAGCAATCAGCACATTTTGGTTTCGTGATTTTGTGGGATGTCCATGTGCCGCTCCCCCATCTAGGAAATCTGTTGGTAAAGACCAGCTAGGGTTGATGGCAAGGCTGTCAGGCCAGCTCACACTATTTAATAGTGAGATTCTTCCATCCTAGTTAGTGACAGTCTGGTTTAGTCATGTGAGTGTTGAGTGACGGTGTGGCCACCACTTCTCTGTGGCCTGCTCCTCAACCCTGGGGAAGCTTCAGTTCTGGGGAAGTAATCCTTGACTTCTAAGAGTCTTAAGTCAGCAGGTCTTAAGAATTTCAGATATTGGCCTTCATGCAGTCCCTTCTGTCCTGTGTTGTTGCCTTACAACTCTAAACAACCTGTGGACGTGTCTGGTAACTTTGCTCCTCATAATTAAATTAAGACATCCAGGCAGGTGTGTCTCTGGTGCTGATCTAATGAGTTGGTTTGAGTCCAGCCTCTCAACAATCAGTGTTGATAAGGTTCCATGTGAGGAACTATTTCTTCTCTCCTGAGAGACCTATACTTGAAGAGTTGATCCCACCAAATTGGAAAAAAAAAGTAATGATTTTAAATCTAGCAACTACTATAAGTAAGGCTGACACCAGTTTGTGTCAAGGAGTCTATTTGATGTATATAGAGTGAGGAATTTAAAACACAAAACAGTCAGGAAATTGTCAGAGTAGTTCCATTTCAGAGCATCATCAATAAGAAGAGTGAAGACACCACCATTATAAAAGAGCATCATCACCAAAGGGAGGTTCTGTAGTTCTTCCCAGTTACCACTGCTGATGGCAGAGACATAGGCACCATGTTGATACATGCAGGTAAACAGATGGAGGAGGAGTTATAGTAAGAGCCAGGTCCTCCTGTCCTGATGTAGGGCTTGCTTCTGCTTGGGACGTTCAGACCTGTCCATTCCAGCGTCATAGCTGACCCCCCAATGCCTTCTCCTCTCTGTTTCAGGCTTCCTGTACTAGTAACCAAGTACTTCATTTAATCCTCTGAGGACTCATGAGGAGGGAGGCTGTTTAGGCAGAAATCGATCTTGCTTTCCTTTCTTTGTTCTTTCAACTGAAACCATAGTAGTGATTCAAGTCACAAGGAATAAGGCTGTGGCATCAGAGAGGGAGGCTGGTCCATGTGGCAGCTTTTCAAAAGGTTGAAGTATCTGGAAGGCAGACATGCACAGCCTCTGTGCTGTGCTTAATTTTAGAAACTTCTTAATTTTAATGTGTTGTCCATGGCACAAAAGAAATTTTCACTGGGAGACTTCTGTGGTGTTTGAGGTAACAGCTCTTATGTTACTAGAATCCTGTAATGGCAAGGCCAGCAGGAACCATTCCCTCTGTCCTGAAGGTTTTCTTTGGCTTTCACAGCCTCCAAAGCACTTTATAACATGGCTAGACTGTATTGAATTTCCGCTAAGATCGACGCCCATCAGCTAACATTTCTCTTTTGAATTGTGCATAAATGCAGCACTGGTCCTCTGTCTACAGAAAAGCCTGAATGCCAGCACCTTTCCACACACCCAAAATGGTAACAGACATTGCCTGCAGCCTCTGTGTGACCTTGCTGGCATTGTTCTTTAAAAAAAAAAAAAAAGGAAGAATGGAGAAGTCTTTGATGTCTCAATTGAGAGTTAAAAAACTTAGACAATAGTTTTTCCTTTTCTTTTTCATTTTTATCAAATGAAATAGATCTGTTGTGGACATGGGGTGTTCACTCCTGACATGAGTCCTCTTTTCTTCTCCCCAGAGGTTGAGCACATGGGGTCTGGATGGCCTTTTCCTGACTGGGTCATAGGGACTGCATGTTTGAACTTGAATCAGGAGCCAGAATGAATTGGAAATCTTAAATCCAGACTGAAGCCCTTGTTCCATGCCGTTATCTGTAAAGACTGTTACAGAAGACAAGTTAGGAATGTTAATATTGATGTACCTTCTCTGACTTAAGATCCATGAGCGTTTCACCTGGAAAGACAGTTGTTGTTTTATACAGTAACACAGGAAGCCAGGCCCACAAGTGGGTGCGTGAGTACTGAGGCACTGACCACCCCAGTGTGGAGTAACTGAGGAGGTCCGTCAGGGTCTCCCGCCTGTACTGCCCCCCCTCTGCTTGTCTGCATTCGCCTCCACTCTGGCCTCTGCTTCCTCCTGCCAGCTGCTGTGCTGAGCCTTACCAGCAGGCTTCGATACACACACAGGTATCAGAGAGTGCTTCTTTTCTGTCTTACTGGTCCCTGAGGTCTTTAAAATGTAATGTGTGCCATCTGCCTACCTTGCAGATAGGAGGTTGTGTGCATGCGGCCGGGATGTTGGCCTTTTCTTCTCATTCCTGAGCAGCTCTTGAGGGACTCATCCTCAAAAACTGGTGTTTAAAAGAAGAGGGGTCGCGTGACACATTGGTGAAGGTGGAGGCTCTTCAGATGATGTCTCCTTCATGGGAAGAGAATGCTTTATTTTCTGTCTTTCTAAAAACATAACTGACTAGAAATTAGAGTTAGTCACTTGAATTCAGCATAGTTTGGGACCACAGCAAGTAGGGAAGTGAAAATAGCTCTTTCATTTGAACAGTTCTGTCATATTACACATTCCAGCGGAGAATGACGGTTTTGTCAAGCGTGGGGCTACACACTGTCCTCCCAGACTTGGGATGTAGGACAGGAGTATAACCTAGCTATATAGTGAGCTTGAGGGCAGCCTGGGCTACCTGACACCCCATCTCAAAACAAGAAGGCATTCCTTACAAAAGACCTGCAATTAATTATTCAAGCAAATTGTCTATATTATTCTTTAATTAAGATTTTTTATGCCAAGTGTGGTTGGCACACCTTTAATCCCAGCAAATGAAAGGCAAAGGCAGGTGAATCTCTGTGAGTTCAAAGCCAGCCTGGTCTACAAAGTGAGTACCAGGCCAACCAAGACTACATAATGAGATCCTGTCTCAAATGAAACAAGACACTGAAAATAATTTTTTAAGCTAACAAATAATAAATTTTGCCAGAGGAAAATTAGAGATTCACAGCATCTAGTCCAGCTCAGAGACTTAAGTTTGGTTTTTCTGTCCATCACTCCTTATGCTTCTCAGCCTAAGACTGAGGTGGCTTCAGGAGCAGTCTCCCCATGGGTGACCACTCTATCCTTTTCCTTCCAACAGTTGAGCACTAGCCTCACCCTCTGCTCTGCTATGACATGACGTGAGGCTGAGATAGCAGCGTTACAACTCCTATTGCAAAAGAACCAGTTTTCTGAGCATCTGAGACTTATCCAGAGGTTTAAAAAATATTTTTAGTTTTGTTAAAAAAAAAATAAAATGCATGCCTGTTTATTTAGGATTTTGATGCCTGTTGTTTCCAACTGAATAAGTCTATTTTCAAAACAAAGATTAGGAGATTTGGCTCACTTTCGTTTGCTGGCGAATATGCCAAAGGTCTGTTTCCCATAAGATGTGTCTGCCTTCAGTTGCCATTCTGACTGTGAGTAGTTTATTATACCATACATTTAACAGCAGAGCGTTTGCTGAAGAGCTCTTGTGTGCATTTAGGATGCTAGAATCTATAAATAGCACACAGATATTATGCGAATATGGTAGAATCACACAGTGCTTGGAGCTGGCAGTCTTGTAAACATGTCCAGGAAGGGGCGCCTTGGCACCAACACTTGCCAACTTGACTTTCTCAGAGTGGTGAGATGTTCCTTTCCTGGCTTCCGGTGTCCACATTATGCAGTTCCGTCTCACAAGCCTTGCTACCCCTTATGAATACTGTTTTATGGCTGGTGTACACATACCTAACCTCCACCCTTTCATCTTGGGGGCATGAGCATCCTGGGGGGCAGGCTTTAGTGTCTCAGTTGCTCAGAGCCGCCATCTGCTTCCACTTGCCTTGTGGTCTCGAAGATCATGCTTGGCCCATGGGTACTGCAGTGTGTCCAGAGGATGTGGAGTTTTGTCAGCCAGTGAAATATGTCTGGCTTTTTTTCCTTCCCCCCACACCCCCCACCAGCCTTCATTCGCTCTTCATCCTGTGTGGTCTCTACTGAACTGAATTTCTGTTTAACAGAACTATTTACTCTCTTTATCATTTTCTATGGCTTGATTTTTTTTTTTTAAGGAGAAGGTGTGTAGACTTTGAGCCAAAACAGTGTAGTGTTGGAAGCAATAAAACCTAAAGATAGATGCTAATGTCCCGTGTCAGCGCGCCCACCGTGTGTGTGGGTTCTGGAGCGCAGATTGCCCACTTGAGACGCAGACCTGTAGGACACTCGCATGCCAGGAGTCAGCTCCGGGTTGTCGGGTCCAAATACCTTTTTCTTTTTCATGTTTTTAGGCACTTCTGCAGTCTTCAGTGAAGCAGCAGCTAGATGCCATTGAGAAACAGTATGTGTCTGCAATCGAGAAACAAGCTCACAGGTGTGAGGAACTGCTGCACGCTCAGGTACTGATTAACCATGCACCTCCACACATCCTTCTGCCTCCCTCTCCCTCCCTTTCCCTGGGGTGCTGTCCCTTCCCCATCAGCTCTCTGGTGTTTATGCCCCTTGATGTATCTTGGAGGAAAAGTACACTTGAGTAAGCGTAGCTTGATAATTTTATGATGGACTTGGAATAGGGCCACAGGTCTGCACTACGTGGGTTTCCCCCAATGCACAATTACTCTTATTTCCATTTCTGGGTTATATTAAGCTTCACAAAGTCACAGAAGCAAAGAGATTGCTGAGTGCTTCAAAGCGTCTGAATGACTGTTGTGACAGATTTATAAATGATGTTCAGATTGTAAAATTGATTATTAATGGGTAGAGAAAAACAAAATATATCTGCACTCAACAGGGAAACAACCTGTCCATCTTGGAGTTTTTGATTATTTTGTGTACTAGTTTCTGTTTGAACATTTTTCTTTCACTGTTTTTAAAAGCCAAAACAATTAGCTACTTTACATTAATTAAGCCATCAATTGAAGAGCGTTTATAGGTGTTCCATAGTCAGTAATGTGTGTAAAACACTTCTTGTAATGTTTTATAACATAAAACTTGGAAAATGAAGTTGGAAGTAGCTTTTTAAAAAGTCCTATTTAATACGATAGGAAGAAAATTAACAATAATTTCGGAAATAAAGTATAGTATTTGACGGAGATTTTTAGATAAACTAGACTCAAATAGAGATCTGTCTGTTAGAGAGAGAGGGGAGAGAGAGAGAGAAAATATTTGGCCAGAGGATCATTTTGGGTAACAAGTAGTCTCTTTGGCCTCTTACTATTTTATTATAGTCTGCTCTGCTTGCTAAAGGCAAAGCCAAATGACAGTTGGGTGTGTTTCTGTACACTGTATTTGGACTTCTCAAATTGAGGGAATTATGCCTGTTATGGTAGGGCTAAGAGTGCCTGAAACAAACCCCACCAACCAGGGGTTGGAGCATAGAGGGCGTCCCACATTGTCTGACACCTACCAGAGATGACCTGTGTTCACTTTCACCTAGTTCAGTCTCAAAAATACTTTCTTTTAAATGTTTCGTAGTTTGGTGGTTTGGAAGTATATAAGTATACTGAGGTATATCAGTTTAAACTGATTTATGTATGTGGTGTTTGAAATAGATCAGACTCCTTTTTTTAAATTTATCAATACATATTTTAGTTAGGGATTTATTGCTGAGCTGAGACTGTGGCATGACTACAGCAACTCCTATGAAGGAAAACACTTAACTGGGGGTGGCTTACAGTTCAGAGGTTTAGTTCATTATCATTGTGGTGGGAAGCATGGTGGCATGCAGGCAGACATGGTGCTGAAGAAGAAGCCGAGAGTTCTTTATCTGGATTCTCAGGCAGCAGGAGGAGAAAATGAACCACTGGGCTTGGCTTGAGCTTCTGAAACCTCAAAGCCCACCTCCTGTGACACACTTTCTACAACCAAGCCACACCTACTCTAACAAGACCTCCAATACTGCTACTTACTCCCTATGGGCCTAAGGAGGTCATTTCATTCAAACCACCACAATACGCTTTTCTAGTTTCTTTTGCTGAAAAAAGATAATCTTCCATATCTAAATCTCCTTTATGTGTTTGTCAGAAAACAATTATCATGTGTATGTGGACTCGAATGACTTCCATCTCGCCTGTGTTCCCAACCTGTTCAGATGCTGTGTTTTATTTATACAGGTGTCTTACTGGTCTTGAACCAAGAGGTGTAAAGCCCTCCACATCCTTCTTGTAGTCCAGAATTGCTTGGCTACTTGATGTCTTAGGTTTCTGAGTAAACTTTATAAGCACTGTGAATTTTTATGACAAAGCAGGTTGGTTTGTTGATTAGGACTGAGTTAGGTTTGGAGTGCGATGTC